AAATAAATGAGAGAGCAGAGTTACAGGGTAGTGAAGAGGTCAACGATAACTAAAGCATAACAGCAGATATTAAAACCAGTCGTAAAAGGTCAAAACTTATGTTTCTTTACCTGAGTGCACACAACATTTGTAACAAGATGGGTAAGTTTTAGGTACAAATAAAAATAAATGAAAGTGACTTGTTAGCCATTACAGAGACGTGGTTTCAGGGTGACCAAGACTGGGAACTCCATGGTGTGGTGAGTTGTGATGTAGGTGCAATGGATTGAGATGTGTGTACAGCTTTAGTCCTCTTATTTGACAAATGATATATTGGCATTGGAGGCATTTCAAAACAGGTTCAGTAGGCTGAACTAACAGATTAGGCCTTCAGTCATTAGATTTTAGAAGAATGAGGGGTGATCTTATTGAAAAATACAAGATTCTGTGGGCTCAGTAGGATAGATATAGTAAAGATGTTTCTGTTAGTGGGGGAACATTGAACTAGGGGTCACAATTCAGAACAAAGGGACACTCATTTAAAATAGGATGAAATTTCTTATCCCAAAAGGGTTGTGAATGTCTGGACTTCTCTACCCCAGACAGTTCTGGAGACAAGATCACTGCAAGTATTTAAAGAAGAAATATAGAGACTTCTGACATATTGAAGAGTTGAGGGCTATGAGGAGCTGGCACAAAAGAGGATTTGAGGCCTGGGGCTGATCAACCATGATCTTGTTGAATGACTTGCCAGGCTTGAGGGGCCGTGTGGCCTACTCCCGCTCTTAGTTCTTATCTGAGCTGCCTTCTGTACAAAAAATCGTCAAAGTGGTAACTGTAAAGGGAAGAGCACTGAAAAACGTTCAACCTTTGTTCATGACAATACAGGGTATGAATATCAGGGAGTCAGGTCAAAGATTAAAAAAGAAGTCAGGAGTAAAGGGAAAAGCCAGGCAAAAATCTTCTTTGCTCAACATTAAATTGAATTATGAAATAAATTATCAAAGAAAGAATTAGAAATACTAATAGGAAAGTGAAATACTGCAGAGGAAGAAAATCTGATATTAAAACAAAAAGATGCTTGAAATACTCAGAAGGTCAGACAGTATCTATGTAGAGAAACAGGGTAAAGTTTTCAAGGTCAAGATAATTTTTTTATCACTGGCAAGTCAGGCAGCATCTGTGGAGAGAAACAGATACGCAGACAGTCCAGAGATATGCAGGCTAGGTGGAGTGGCCATGGTAAATGAGGGGTTACGGGAATAGGATGGGAGAGCTGGGTCTGGTTAGGATGCTCTTTGGAGGTCAGTGCACACTTGATGAGTGAAACGGCCACTGTAGGGATTCTATGAGTCCAAATCCATTTTACTCATGATGCCGAACTCGAAACATTAACCCTGTTTCTTTCTGCAGATGCTGCCTGACCGTTGATCCTTTCAACTATGTTTTTGTTTTTATTTTAAAGAATCAGAAGTGTTTCTGAAGAGAAGAGGCTAGTCTCCCAAGAAAGGGTAGGTCTTGCTGTTTCTACAAATTCCAATGTTGTTGTCATGATACAGCCCCCACCTAGCTATGCTACAACAACTTCAGTACAAATAGACACAAAATAATTTTGACGGTTTGTGCAGCATCATGTTCAGCCACAAAGAAAATTAAATGTTCAATGGGATCCCAGCTGAATCAATATTTGTGTGCAGCTGCATGAAGTTGAATTGATTCGATGTTAGTTTGAGAGCTGTTATAGTTTAACAGGAAGCAATAGGAAGCAGTTCATCTATCAGCTGTAATTCTAAGTACAAAGAATTCAACTCAGAAAATGTGGGTCTACAAATTTTCCTCTGATCAACTAGCTTTCATAATGCACATTATAGGAAAGCAGCCAGCCTCAAATGCATGCAATGCTTTGTAATTAGAATGCCTTATCACAACGCAGCCTATTATTCAAAGATTGAATCTATAAATCAGATTTGAGCAGCAGTTCGGAGAGCCAGTCTGAAACAAAAAAAAAGTTGCCAGAATATCCTTCTGAGTTACTGTAAAAACCTGATCAATGACAAAAAATATAGCTGAAATACATCCCTGACCGATAGTTTTCCTTGTGACTCACTGAAAACAATGGAACACTCCTCAATCAGAGACCTGGCAGTATGCCATGGACAGCACCCATCAAGACACTACAAATCTGACCTTATCAACTCCTAATCCTTGTCAGTGGTCGTGAGCACCAAAACAGAGACTGTTTTCATAAAGCTATTAAAAAGTGCTGATATTCAATTCCAAATTGATGGCATAGGCAGAACAACCAGCAATTGAAGGTCATTAAAAATGAAAAAAAACCTTATTTCCTGACCACATATATGTGTCACCCTGTGACTTTTCTATCCACTCACTGCCATTACTGTAAAACCTCTGTGTACTGAATAAATGGTGCCAGACATTGTCAACAGCTATTGAACTATTAGAGTGCATGTGATGTGAATAAACGTTCGATACTAACAGAAGAGTGGAAATGGAGAACACAATAAACCTCAGAAGCTAATTCCATCATTAAGAATAAAGAAGGCCCAGCATTAAACTGACTTGTCATTTATAACATATTCACGCACATGTATCACATGCAAGCATTCACTTTTTATTTTTGAAAGTAATGTCAAAATGATGTCAATGTTATGTAAAGCATAAATGTTGCAAAATCAGTGTACTTATAGCAAAACTCTTCAAAGAAAACTTGAGGTCCTACCCTTAAATGAGGAAAAAAATTTCAATCTAATTTTTAAAAAAAATGTATATCTGGGCAAAAAGTATTAGCAATTATTTCTATATTAAATTTTTAAGCTTACATCAATAGATTAAATTGCCGCGGCTTGGTTTGCTTTTTCAATTTATACGGTTGGAATATTGACACTTCACATTTTTTTGTAACTCACCCAGGCTACCAGGCCACATTTCCATCAAAGTGATTACTGTGAGAATGTAAGAAAAAATGTAATGTTGCTTGGCAATAGCAAACCTCAGAAATACTTTGAATAAGACTGGTTAATAATGGTGTTTTAAAACTAAATGGATTCTGGAAAAAAGATACCTTTAGGATGCTAAAACAAATCCTCAAATCTGTTCACAAATAAAAATGTTCCATGTCGTTCACAGAAATATTTTCTGATCTTTTAAATTTGCTTCCCATCCAATGGTGGAGTTAAGATTATGGAAGTTTCAATTTTAAAAGATCAAAAATCAGCACTGGGGTTCAGTCCTTCACTTTTAATTTGATGGTAATCATTTACTAAACTGTATTATTTATGCAGAAATATATCCTATCAATTACTGAAAGTACAAAAATTAATATTTGCAGTGGCAATCAACACACTAAGTATAAGATGTCAATTATACTGTGAAAATTGCTGAACACAAGCAAAAATAAACTGTTCAAACCACTAGATGATTTGATTTTTTTTTCTGTTAACACTTAAGGCTCAAAATGATCATTTCTACATTTCCTTTCAAAATGTGCAAGAACCTGACTGGGCTGAGGGTACAGACGTAGGCACACTTAAGTGGATGTGGCTGATCACTCTACACCTGCAGTGAATGTTGCAAAATTAAGCACAATCGTAAGATTTCCAAGATGTCGGTCTACATAACAATATCGCAAAATTTGGTACTTCTATTCTAACAACAGCAATATCCTGTGCATGTCTTGCAAAGTTGCAGACGTACGGGAAACCTATAGGCTGAGGGCACATCTCAGTACTCTGGGCTTTCAGTTCTCTGGCTGCTGAGGTACATGCTCAGTTTATGGGAAAATATTTTTTATTTGTTTATTCCAAACTCTCCACTGATCATGCTACATGCCACAAAATGCAAAAGAGGAATATATATGAACAAACTAAACAAAGGACAGTTATAAACTTGTGTCACTTTTTGATGCCATGCATTCCTTAAAGTGTTAATCAAAATGGTAGGGGCCAGCTTCACTGTTGAATGAACGTATGTTTGCTACTGAGATACATTCTTCTTATTTTTCAGATTAACACTTGACCTTGAGTGACAAAGTGTTGGCTCGGGCTTTAGTTATTCTGTATGCTCACAGGAGGGAATTCAGTGTCATCATCCAGGTGCAATGGTCCAGCAGCAAACTCGTGTTCAGGAATGATCTCTCCATGCAGAGTCCCCCCATCCTCGGAATATCCTGGAAGGGAATGTTAAGTAACAGTGAATCTTACAGACCATGTTGAGTATATTGCACTGTTTAGTCCACCCCTCAACAGTTTTGTTCAACATAATATAGATGTCAGCATAAATAATTCCTCATACAATGTATTTGATAGCCTGTATTTTCCATAGGCCTCACTCTCCAGCATGCCTTGCGCCCCCCTTTATAATAAATTCTTCCATGAGATATGGGCATCACAGCTATTTGTTGCCCATCCATAGTTACCCTAATTGATCTGAGTGGCTTGCTAGGCCATTTCAGAAGGCAGTTAAGAATCAACCACATAACTGCAGATGTGGAGTCACATATAAACCAGACCGGGAAAGGAAAGCAGATTTCTCTTTATAGAGGCAATTTCTCACAACATTTGACAGTGGTTTCACGGTTGCCACAGATGGCTAGATTTCAATTCCAGATTTTATTGAATTTAAATTCCATCAGTTGCCATGAAGTGATTTGAACCCTTGTCCCCAGAGCATCATTTTGGATTACTACTGCAGTTATTATCTACCGTGTTATTATCACAATGTCACTATACCCACTGTGTAATAGATATTGTAACCTACTAAAATTCCATGCACAGAGCTCCCTTGTGTGACGTACTTGGAGCAAACGGCATGATCATTTGGTCAGTCAATAAAAGAAATTCTGAATGGCTGAGATTGAGTTGATACCTGGTGTTGTTGATGACGAAGGTACTAAGCTGGTTTTGGCAACAGTTGCTGCATAAGTTGGTGAGATGGAAGGCATCAAGTCAGATTTGGCAGTGTCACTGTTGTCATCTTCATTGTGCAGGCTAAATCACCCCCAAAAAATGCAGAAATCCGAAATGTCAAAATCTGAGCTTCCATATAGATGTTGCATTTTCAAAGCTAAATGGAGTATAGGTTTACCTCCTCATTTCCAATGAGTTACGAACCTTACTGACACCATGAGTGTGGTTAGTCCTCAGTGGAGGATCGGAATTATTCTCTCATACCCTCCTATCACCTGCCATACAACATCAATGCAAGGAGAAATATTGTGTTTTCAGAAACACCCCTAATGAGTAGTTCAAGTGGACCTTGCCTTGATGTTCAGGCATGCTGTGGTATCAGTATATATCATCAAGTTATAATTCAGCAAGTTACGTTTTATTTCCTACTGATTTAGTTGGAAAAAGTAGCAATATTGAATCAATAATTTCACCAGTGCCAGATAAAACATTAGGTTTAACTGCTGGAATCATAATATTCTTTAAAGAGGTTTCTACAGAATTGTCTCTTTAACAGTCACCAAGATATTCACAATATGTGAGCTTTTCCCATTCCTGCCATTAAGTGGTAGAGAGTTTGAAAATCACTCCTGATAGCCCAAAATGTGAAGACCACAACATATTTGTTAAATGCTAGGTTGGCCTCTTGTAGATACTCATCAAGTCTGGATGTGGTGACCATGATAGTATTCCTCCTTTGAATTAATAGGGTTAGCTTCTGGTCCCATTCCAAACAGCCACAGCTAGAGGTGACTTGTGAACTGGCTCTGAATATGGTACTGAGGTGCATCAGGGTTACTTGCATCTGATGGATGTAGGTGTCCCCATCCTCCCCATCCATTGTAGAAGATAAATGGAGCTCTTTAGATTTGATTCCAGTTCAACCAGGAGAACAAACTCCAATATATGTTGAGAAAACACAGGATAACAATACTTCACCTTCTCTTTTCTAGCAAGTGGCTCAACAATCTTATGTAGCAACCCCAAGATAAACCTGTCAGCAATTCTGTTTTGAAGTATTAATTCAAGCAGACTGGGAACAGTTTGTGCGATACTATGCCTGTTTTGGCGTTGTAAAATTCTACTGCAAATAAATTTTGAGTGGAGAATATTATGTTCCCATTCATGAGGTTATTAGACCAAGGACATAACTACGAGCGTTGTTCAAAAGATGGTAAAGTTGCTTATCCCTCTGGCTAACAATAAAAGACACACAACGTACAATTTTTCAAATTGTGATTCAGAAACAAGTACATTTACTCCCAGTTGTCTCCCTTTATAATACTTGCAATGAAGGTGCAATTATAGTAGGATACAGTGCACCTTCAAAGTTTTCAAACAGCAAAACTGCATTGTACATTTACCATTTTCTAAGTACTTCACATCAGAATTATATTAAAAAGAACCTGGTGCATTCTGTAAATGTCAGAGTTCCTGACAAACATGCATCATATTTTGCAATATGTGTTCTTACTGCATACGAATGATGTGAACAAAACGTGATAAAATATGTCAAGGAACAGCATAGGCTACCTACCTTGAGGAGAATTCTTCCTGTTAAGTTCCCAGTTTTGACACACGTTGGGTAGAGTTGCTGCTGGACTTTGTACCTGGGAGAAAAGAATCAAGTGAAGGGTGACCCCTTTCTTTATGACTTAAGGTTACTATGATGTCATAAAGAAGGGTGACCCTTACAGATATTTTCTAAGCAACCTGCTCAGAGATGTTATTACATGCCTCTGGAGCAGGTGGAACTTGAACACAGACCTCCTGGCCCAGAGGTAGGGACACTGCCAATGTGACACAGAGCCTCCTGTATCCCCTTGTATTATATGGAAAAGCTGATTCCTACCAAAGGCACCAGTTCAATTAACTAGTAAGGAAATAAAGAAACTATTCTGCAAAGTCAGTGGAGTCAGCTCGGAGAAGGGGAGCAGAAAGATAAAGATGCATGCAGAATGATCATTTGAAGGCAGACAGCCAAATAATATTCCTTTGTAAAGTTTGCAACCTCCACAAATAGCTTAAAAAAAATCAAATGGAAAGGGAAATTTCTAATTTTAGGTTCTATCAGTAAGAAAGGGCAGTCTAAACCACAAAAATCCTCAGTTGCCTGCTCAGCGTAGTAACTATTCCAGTCAGCTACAGGACAAATATTTCCATTGGAAGTGAAGACATGACTGTGGACCACATGCAGTGAGGCTTTACGGGTGCTGCCTATCAATTGATAACAATAATATAAATCAGGAGCTAGTGCTCAAATCAAAATTTACAGAACATCTTGTACTCTTTCTTAAATGTTTATCAAATAAATAATTTGAAAGATTGACCTTAAGCACAATGGAGATATGGCACACCTATATTTTGCGCTATGGTGCTTGCAAACTTGTTCTGTTTTTGATGCTACTTTCAGGCACTTAACTACAAAATGGTACTCTAATTAAATCATACCATGTTCAAAGTCAGATTCACTGGGCACTCTGCAGCTTTGCCAGCAGTGTTAAGTTTCAAGATATTCAATGGTAACTGTAGAATAAGCATTTACCTGTGTTTCTTTATCAGAACACACTCTCCACCATCATGAGGGTCCAAATTGTAAATGTAGAGGTATCCATCTGAGGCAGCAACAAGAAGTCGAGGTAATTTCTGTATCCTGTTCACCAAAACAATATGCTTACTAAACCCTGAAACAAACATTTTCATCATTTTGTAACAACCAAATGTGGCTTATATTACAGCCCGGGATGGTTTTCTCAATATCCTACTTCCTGTTGATCACAAACACTTTCCAAAGAACATGTTCATGATTTCAATTTAAAAATTCACGAAAGAATATCTTCTCCACTGAAGAGAAAGGGAAGAGCTCAAATTTATCTGGTACCTTATATGTCCTCAGAGAGTCTCAACACAGCTACTAGTTTGCAGACAGCTGTTTTTAAAAACTAAAATAAATAAATGACCAGTAGTTCTTTTTGTGATCTTAACTGCTCCAATTATATGTACTTAATCTGTGTTCCAAGTTAGTTCCAGTGGCAACAGTCCAAGACACTTAGATGCCCACTCATTGGCCATTCAGTTCATTAATAGTACCAACTAAAAGGCAACAATCTCACCTAATTGAGCTTTACATCTCTTGTCTTACAGACTACAGCATCTAAATGTGATAAGGGTTCCTGCCTCTACCATCCTTTCAGATAAGTGAGTTTTAGGTGCCCTCATCTTCCCTGTAATGAAAATATTTTTCTTCAACTCCTCTAGAATTCTTCTGCCAATGTATGTCCCTTGATATTGACCTCACACTGCCATAGGAAATAGGTCCTTCCCATTCATGCCATGCAAGCCCCTCATAATTTAATACACCTCAATAGTATCTCCCCTCAGTCTCCACTGCTCCAAAGAACACATTCCAATCTATTCAATCTTTCCTCATAGTTAAAATTCTCTACTTATAAGTCTTCCCTGTATCTCATGTAAATTGCAATCTTTCTGTAATGTGGCGATCAGACTGTACTCAGCACCTTGAGCTGTGTCCCAACCGGTATTTTAAACAATTCTAGCATAAACCTCCTGCACATATATACCTCAGCTAAAGAAAATATCCTATATATCCTTCTTAACCATGTTATCTGTCCAATTAGCTTCATGGAATCTAATATTGAACCCTGCAAATACCGACTGGAAACTGCCTTCCAATTACAAAATCACCAGTCCACCTTTTCCCCTTGTGTCATAGAGGGGCTCCCTCTGAACCAATTTTGGATCCAATTTGCTACCTGCCCTCAGATGATAACGACTCTTGCTTTTACATCCAATCTGCATGTGCAACCTTGTCAAAAGCCTTGCCAGAATCTTCCTTGTTGCATCCTCAAAAAATACTCAATTACGTTTATCGGACACATTCGTCTCTTTAAAAAAAAATCCATGCCAACTCTCCTTGATTTGTCTCTGTCATCTCATTGAAAATATTGTCCCTCAGATTTTCTTTCTTCCCAATATTTGGCCCACCACAAAGATTAAGCTGACTGGCCTGCATTACTTGGACTATCCTTCCTCCTTTATCTAACAATAGAACAACATTAGCAGTCCTCCAGCCTGGAGCCAAAGAGGATTGAAAACTGATGCTTCTGATTGCATCCTGAGTTCCATGTCATGCAGGTTTGGAAATGTATCTACTTTCAAAGATCCTCAACCTTTAAATATTTCTTCTCTCACTATGTTTATGCCTTCCAATACATCACACTTGACCTCAACTACAACATTTGCATTTTCCCTCTTTCTTTTGTGAAGACGCATTCATTAAAAACCACACCCACAACTTTCAATTCCATACACAGGCTACCTCTTCAGTCCCTAACCAGCTTAACTCTTTCCTTGGAGATAGCAGGATTTCTGAAGAAGGGTCCAGACCCGAAACGTCTGCTTTCCTGCTCCTCTGATGCTGCCTGGCCAGCTGTGTTCATTCAGCTCCACACCTTGTTAACTCTTTCCTTATTATCCTTATTATTCACACAGCAACATCAAACAGACAGTGATGAGAAGCTAGCTGTTAGTGATGTGGCTAATACCAAGACAGCTTCCTGATTTTCAAGCAATGTCATAATATCCTCAATGTCAATCTGAAGAACGAAACAGGCAGTTCTAGACTGAAATTCAAACCCAAAATGTGCAGTGGGGCCTAAGCCTTGACTGGACAAACCTGTATCCATACTCTCTGCAGTGGAGTCAGTCCCAGCATGGAAGACAGCATGCATTCAGACCGGCAAACTTATCGTCTGCTTGTTGTGGATTTCTTCAAAGCTTACTTTATAGTTTCATACCTATTGATGGTTCCCTGTTGGTTCATATATTTGAATGGCCAGAAAAAAAAAAACTTCCCTCCATTTAACTGAAGGACAGAAGGAAAAAAAAAGACCTGAAGAACTACATTTAAACTAAACTATTAAAAAATGCCAACAACAAAAAAAAACTTAGTTCTGAAGAAGCGTCACTGGACTCGAAATGTTAACTCTGCTTTCTTTCCACAGATGCTGTCAGACTTGCTGAGTTTTTCCAATAATTTTTGTTTTTGTTTCTGATTTCCAGCACCCACAGTTCTTTCATTGTTTTGTTTACTGTTTCACAAAGAAAGCTAGTCAACTGTGTCATGTCTACTTACACAGTAAGCGTACAGATGCTTCGTTGCCCAGAGAAGTTGAGACGTACTGTGGCAAATGCTCGGTCCTGGTTTATTATGCCTGATACCTGGGTAGGGAGGTAGTTAGTGGCTGCCATAAACATCTTTCCCATGTATCCACTCCACGTAGGAGATTCCTCCTGGGGCCTGCTGTAACCAAGGATACATTTCAGAGATCAGAGACTCGACATTGTGTCTGTCAGTGTACATTACCTGAGCATTATTTTTCTTTCAAACTTGATCCAAATGAATACAAGGCCAAACCTTTTTCAAGCGCTGTGATGGATCACAACTGTGTAATGCAGCTGCAGGTTAACGCTACTTGGCATTTCCACAATTGTTTGCACTGCTATGTGATGAAACAGCATATAACCATAAAGGCCATTCCCAAGACACAGGATTTAATTTGCGTTTTATTGTTCAATTTGCACATTTCCCTTTGAGCTACCTTATCCTTTTACTATGTCTGATCACTTGAGAGTCAAGGGCTCAAAGAAGCTTTGTGCCAAGGAAGGTGTTTAGTTACAGGCCAAGTAACCAGCAGACTGAGAATATGGGGAGCCCACTCAATGGCGATGGCTAGGTCTATGCTCAGGGCACTAAAACTCCTGTTAACCATTCACGGGTTATGGGTGTCGCTTGTAAGGTCAGCATCCATTACCCTTGAGGTGGTGCTGGTGTGTGACTTTGTTGAACATCTAGGACAGGTGGGAGTTCCAGCATTTTGACCCAGCAACAGCGAAGAAATAATTATATATTTTCAAGTCAAGATGCTGTGTGACTTGCAGGTGCTGCCATACATTGCACTGGTCCTTCTAAGCTGAAGCACTGTTGAAGGAATCTCGTCAAAGAAGATTCAAGTAAAAACATAAGCTGCAATATTTCAGGGGTCTGCCAGTAGAGACTGAAAATTACCAGGCAACCAACTGATAACCAAACATTAATTTTCTCTTTGAGAAAAAAAGGTTCACGTGTTAATTTGTTTTCTGTAATGTTTTTGCTGACAAGGACAGGTTGTGATAGGAAGTTGCTTGTCTCAGGGAGGTTTCTAATTACGCACGCAATCTATTTAAGAAAAAACAGTTACGGAATGTATGACTCATTTTATGCTGGACAGTAGTTAAAATTAAAAGGTTATGTAGTGTCTCTGTGTGGTGGAAAAATGCACTGCAGCCAAAATAGTCCTGCTGTTAGGGTGGAGGAATTCCAATGGTTGTTTTCCATTGAAGAATTGAAGTTTTTTTGACTAAAATCTTGTAAGCGCTGGGTCCACGGTTAAGCATGTTTGCAAAATTTAAACATTATAGCTGGGTGATATTTTTAAATGACAGAGCTTTAGCCTCCCAAAAATGGGTGGGTTCAGATTGGTTGTGATATTTTAAATGTTAAAAATTCTAAACGTAACCCAACCCATCTATTTCTAGTTTTAAGAAGGGCAGGATATTCAGGCTGAAGAGACAAGGAGATGGATGACCAATCTACTCCCAGGAAACAGATTTCTCACTTAAATATCGAAATAGGTCTATAAGCCTCAGATTTTACTGTGGCAATTTAAAAATAATCCTGGCTGGCCAGTTATCAGGTAAAAGGCAGGTGAGGACTCTTGGAAACAGCAGTAAGCCCCTTTCCGGCACTGCTTGTAGGTCAATAACACTCCCCAGCTCAACCCCTGCATTCCCTGGTGTCCCCTGCTGATCCCTGATCTGCATTCTCCAACCTACACCCCATCCTTGCCTTCCCAATCATTCCCTCCTTACTCTCTGTTCATAAACTAGTTCAGCATCAAAACAAACGGAGACAAAACGATGGCTTTCTCATACCCTGTCGTTAAATTCTGTAGGATCAGAGGAGATTCTGGATTTTTCAAATTCAAGACTGCTCTGCTAACCTCTGGTAAATATTGGCACCTGAGTCTCAGATCAACATGAGGAAAAGGTTCATTTAACATGAAGAGGCTCCAGAAGCTAGGACTTTGTCTCTCGCATGGTCAAAATCATGGAGTGATTTGATTGAGCAGTTAGGGAGAACTGTTTACATTAGCAGGAACACAGGGCACTGAAATCGAACACTCTGAATAGAATAAGGCTTTGGTTCAAACATGGACAAAAGAGCTGAATTCCAACATTCAAGAAGCTTAACACCATCCAGGACAAAGCTGCCCACTTGATTGGCACCACATCCACAAGCATCCATTTCCTCTATCATTGACGCTCAGTAGCAGCAGTGTGTACTATCTACAAGAAGCACTGCAGAAATTCACCAAAGCTCCTCAGACAGCACCTTCCAAACCCACGACCACTTCCATCTAAAAGGACAAGGGCAGCAAACATATGGGAACACCACTACCTCCAAGTTCCCCTCCAAGCCGCTCACCATACTGACTTAGAAATAGATCACCATTCCTTCACTGTCACTGGGTCAAAATCCTGGAATTCCCTCCCTAATGGCATTGTGGACTGCCGTGTTCAAGAAGGCAGCTCACCACCACATAGGGCAACTAGAGATGGACAAGGAACGCTGCCCAGCCAACGATGCCCATGTTCCACAAATGAATTAATTAAAAAAAAACCTGCCCTTTTGTGGAGCCCCGACATCATATTTGCATGCGGCAATTTGAATCTGTGGCTCACCAACTTCATTACTGTACCTAGTGGATTGATACACATCCATTTGCAAATTTGTCTGAAAATGTCTTATATTTCCTTTTAATTGGACACCACTTAAGACTACACAACTTCTTATTTTAATATTATCTGTCTCCCCAAATCCTTTTGCACCTTGTTTCCTCGTTCTAATGTTATAGCCTGGTGTCCTCTCTATTATAATTTAAACTAACTCCTACAACACTAGTGAACCCCTGTGAAGAAATTGGTTCCAGCTCTGTGGAAGCCTGCACAGCTCTGAACTCCCTGAAGAACTGATCCATGCTCCAGGAATGTTAAGCCACCTTCCTACACCATCAGTCTAAGCATACCTTCCTTTTCTCTAACTTCTTCTTTAAGATAATTAGCAAAAGAACCGGGGAGTCGGGAGAAAACTCAGAACAAAAGCCTCTTCAGTGGTAACTTTCTAAAATGATTGGATAAACATTTGAAGAAAAACTTGCAAAGCATAAAGATTAAGGGAGTGAGACCATTTCGATAGATATTTCAAAGAGCCAGAAATGGCATAACGGCTCATATAGTCACCATCCGTGTGGTCATAGCTTACGATCAAGTAATTGTACCCATGTCCCGATGGTACATACATCTGATTGTTGATAGCTTTGTGGTATCTTGCCCAAATTATCTAGAATCCAGAACAACAAGTTTCCAGAATGTCATGAACATGGAACAACACAGACAAGTTCAATTCATTCCTCAGCCATTCTCTCTTCCAAATGTCAACATGTAAGTGTTGACATCAGGCATGATGGTGGCTGTCTGCCTTTATGTGTGATACAGGAGTCTGTTTTGGCATCTAGAGAGATAGTACAGCACCTAGCGGCCACGTAAAGAGAACTGAAATTGCTGACTGAGGTGGTCACGTCTCATCATTACTGGTGGGCTGCTACTAGACAAATCTCCCTCACTTACACTGCCTGTGCTGAACAACATATTCAACATATGCAGTCAGTATTTGGGACAACTATTCTTGCAAGAACACAGACAGAATAACTCAAGACTCAGTTGGTGTTGCCAAGAGTTCATTTTTGCATAATCTTCCTATTAAACTAATTCCACATTAATTCCCTGAATACATATGCTAGTACTTTAGTGATTAAAGCAGCCAGATAGACAGATTGACTATTTATACAGTCAGATGCAAATCTCTGTTTTTGTACTATTAAGACTGAGAAACGAGGAAGGTCGCTGGAATCAGTAGACATGGGGTAAACAAAATGACACAGTGCATGAGTCAGGCATAAACTATCTGAATTTGTGTAGCGGAGCCTATACTGAAAGAAAAACAACATTAGAACTCTGGACTTGGCCCTTCCTATTAGTTAAACTGTCCCGACAGAAAGTAATGTGAATGATTAAATGTCTAGTCCAGCCTTACTTGGGGGAAATTCTGAAGGACTACTGTACCTCTGGCTGGGCTGTTCAAGTTTGAAGATGTGAATAGTTTCTGTATTACTTGATGCTGACAGGAACTGGGAGTCTCCGCTGAAAGCCAGTGAGCCAATATTTACATACCTGTTGCAGAAGAAAAATTACACTGTATCAAAATCATAATGTGGTAGAGATAAATGTAGTTCTGTGAGAAAGTACTCCCGTGTCTAATGTCCGCTTCAAAATAACCTATTCCCAAAATTCTTTGGGCAGAAAGGAGAAATTCTGTGATCCCTAAAGGAAGACAAAAATGTAGTGTACAAGTTGTTATTCTGAGTTTTCACTTCATTAGTAACACTTTTCTGAATTCTGGTAGTGAGGCCATAGTAAACGGCCTGTGTATACCTCTACATTAAAGGCTTGTGTGTCTGGGATTGAATTCCAGTGCAAATTTTACCCACTGCACCTTTAGAATTAGAATTCTACCTATTTTACCCTTTACACCTTTATATACAGGTAAAAGCTAATAGATGATCTGTTGAGGCACAGCACAACAGAAGCTCAGCAGAAAGGCAATGATTCTGAAGGGAACTGACTTCCTTTAAAATGTCGCTAGGTTACTCTCTCAGGAGTAAAGTTACCTCATTGTTTTTAACAAGCATTTGTTGTTTTACAAGGCTCAAGATCCCACTGCCAGACAGTAAGTCTGCATTGCTCCAGTATCTGCCAGATCTCTCAGATGTGCTCCTACAACATGAGGGTGGTGCTGGTCTGTAGACGATAATCAGGTGTGGCCCAATCCAGGGGTGCTGAGACAACTCTTGTAGTATAGTGGTGGTGTTCCTACGTCTGACCCATAAGGCCTAGGTTCAAGGCCCACCTGCTCCAGAGATGTACATTGACATCCCCGAACAGATCGATTAGAAAATATCTCCTGGAGTGCTGAGGTCTACAATGGTACCCCTCCTGTGATTCTCAGATGAGATGAGCTAATTCCGCACAAACCAGGGATCAAAGCTGCAACTTCCGTGGTTCACGTGCTTAAATTACTGACTAGATACATACTCTGAGCTACTGAAAGGGTCTGACATGTAGCACAGCAAACAATTACTTCCTACTTGTGCAAAATCCAACATAGGACATGGATAGTGTTCAGATGATGACTCTATTACTCCATGATTGCAGCTTCTCGAATGGCTGGGAGGAAGCACAAGGTCACAACTATTCCACATTTATTATCTCAGGCTCAGATCATTCCCAGAAAGTGAAGGGAATCAAAGGATAAAGCTTTCACAGTCAACTCAAAGTAGTAATGTAATAGGCTAGGGGCCCAATATCTGCCTGCTATCCAGGCCAAACTTGTTGTGAGGACAATAAATGGGAACATAAAACGGAAGAAAATACATTTATGAATAGAACCAAAGTAAACACAAATATAAAATCAACATTGTCACTTCATTGGATTTTGAATCCTTGCCTGAAATTACCTTTTCATTCCTCTCCTGAATTCGTACAGTTTCTCTCCCTCAGGAGTGGAAAAGACACGAATAACAGTCCCCTGCAGAATATTTAGTGAGTGAGTGAATCTTCACAATTTGTAATCACAGAAAAAGGGCATTAAACCACTGATATCAGTCAAGTACTTCAAAAGGTTACAAACTTTTCATAAAAAGCTTGATTATTCCAAATCTCCTGCTATAATTAATTGTTTTCCAGCTAAACTTCAAATCTGCAATACTGCATTATTTTCAAAGTCCAATAAATCGGACAACACACTAACAACCCTCACTGCATCATGTGATAAATTATTCTGATATTCACAGTGTCTAAAGCTCCGGGTGACTAGAAGTAAATGTGCAAGCATAAAACATGCTGAGGCAGTCAAGAACGGGGAAGTTTGTCTCCATGAAGCGAAATGCCAATTTAGCAAAAGCAAACAAGAGTTCCTGAACTCAGTGCAGATGTTTTCACATAAAAAAGGGAAATGAGATTTAACCACCCTCTGCTGCTATTGTGCACTTTCAGCAACTTGCTCAAGAAAAATAACTATACAGGGTGGAATAGGCCCAGAAACAGAATAATACATTAAAAAAATATAATTCTTGTAACGTCAGAGAAGGTTTTACTCAGTCCCTAAAATACGACTGGATGGAAATGTTGATCAGCACTGATGAAATCCTTTCACTAAGTGGAAAGTTGGGACACAGGATCAAACCTTAAAGCACGTCAAGTAAATTTTCAGGCACTAATGAATGAGTGGGAAGGAGTAGAATTGAGAATATATTGAGGAAAAGGGAAAATTACTTACACTCTCCCCACTTTGATTGGGAGACACCACCCCCAGACAAACAACAGAAGACTCCCCTCACCAGTGGCTAGGAGACTCTATTTCTTCTCTTCTAAAACATCATCTCTCTTCTCTTCCCTCTCACCCACAAAGCCTGTCTGGACACTGGTCAGGAGTTCTCTCTCCCCACCCTGTCAGTCACAGGGAGACTCCCTTCCACGCTCAGAACAGGTCCTGTCTCTAGGTGCCCTTGTGGTTGATGCCTGAGAGGTATCACAGTCGAATAGGAAGCTAATCACTGAGCCCACTGTTACACATTCCACACTGAGATATGGTGACAACTGGAAAAGTCAATGATGGGAATATATTTTTGAGACCTTAGTGAGGGAAGATAACTTATTTCCTTTTTAAAAGCTTTTGGCCAATAAAAATTATGAATTTGGTCTATGTTTTTGAAAGGTGATTGTTTTATATTCAACCCAGTAATCATCTGGTGGTGATTGTTATGGTAACCTTCACAACTAACTTTATCAGAAATGCAAAATTGTAATAGGGTTAAGGAATATACAATTAAATAGTTGAGCAATTAAGAATAATTTTATGGAGGCAAGGAAGAGAATCGCAAGCAGAATGTCAACCTCTGGATTAATTGCAGTTCTACATGTTAAGGAATCAATGAAATAGGAAGATAGAGCAGATAAATGTATGGATGGAAAGATGGTGTGGATGGAGGGCTATAGATATTTGGTTTATTGGGCCAATTTGTGGGAATATGGTACCTGTACAAAATGGACTGGTTGAACTTCTCAGAGCTAACAGAAACATCCTCATGGGATGTTTGCTAATGTTTGGGAAAGTTTAAACAAATTTGGCAGGGGAATGAATACCATGCAACAATGTAAAAGGAGGTAGAAGGTGCACAAATTACAGGGAGAGAGAAATAGAACTGCAATAAGAAACAGGAAGGCATTAGGTTAATTCAGGAAAAGCAGGAAGGCAGTGGGGCCTAAATTAGATTTACCCTGCATCTATATGAATGTGTGGAGTGTGATAAATAAAGGTTGTTGAACTACAGGCACAGATAGCAACAAAGGAAGATGTTGTTGTAGCATTAACAGAGTTATGGCTCAAAAAGGGGCAGCACTGCTTACAAAATAATGACTGGATGCAATTGTTTGGGAAAGACAGGAAAGGAGGTGTCATTGATTAAGATGTTACAGTGCTGGACAGAGATGATGTCAGGAAGTGTTAAGGGCATATGATATTTAGACAGAGTCAGGAAACAATAGAGATACACTACTGGCTACATTCTATAGGCCACCACATAGTGAGAACAACACAGAGGAGCACATATGCATGAATATAACAGACATGTACAAAAACTATACAATCATGACAAACTTAGTGCGGACCTTACACTATTGCTATTCCAGGTTGCATTAGAATAATCATAGGGAAGAGGGGGAAGAATCTCTGAAGTGCAGGAGAGTGTTCTTGATCAGTGTGTCCCCAACCCAATAAGAAACGAGGCATGCTAGATCTGGTTCTGGGGCTTGAGTAAGGTGATCCAAATGAATCAATTGTCAGTCGAGGTACATTTAGGAAAAGGTGGTCATGGTATCAAATGGTTTAGGTTAGTCACAGACCAGGGCAAGGAGTAATGTCAAAGGAAAACCGCGTAATTGGAAGAGGGACATTTGCAGACAGCTGGCATGGCATAACTGGCCAAATGTCGCCCTTCTGAGCCGGAAATGTTCTAGGATTCTACAATACCTTTTCCGAGGCACTTGCCAGTTTTGAACCTGTGTAGTTGAAGGTCAGTGCAGCAAGTGGACCATCATGTGCAGGAATTACAGAAATGCTGTGCTGGTAGGATATAAACAGACAAAAATGACAGCTAATTAAAATAATATGATTTGGGCAAGGCTGGACAGATTTTAACCAGAGAATTTAATAAACAAAGTTGTTTATTCAGATTGGATGCAAGTTTTCAGTCATGTTTATATAGCACCCGGTGACAGCACAGGAAGCTCCAAAGCACTTTACAGGCAACAAATTACTTTTAAGACAAACCAAAACAGAAAGTGCTGGAGAAACTCAACAGGTCTTGCAGCATCTGTAGAGAGAAAAACAATGTTAATATTTTGAGTCCAATGACCCTTCTTCAGAACAATTACTTTTAAGTGTAGTCACAGTTGTAACGTCTAAATAGATGACAGCCAACTTGTAATTTGACACATGACTGGGTAATCTATTATAGTAATGTTTGAGGATTGAATTTCTGAAATTCCATTTCTCTTCTTGGAGTCATGTTGTAGCTGTACAGGACACTGGTGAGGCAACTTTCAGAATACGGTGTACGATTCTGGCTGCCCTGCTGTAGGAAAGATGGTATTAAACAGGAAAGGGTACAGAAAAAGTTTACATTGACATTACCGATACTGGAGGGTTCGAGAGGCTGGGACATTTTCCCTGGAGTGTAGGAGGTTGAGGGGTGATCTCAGAGGTTTATAAAATCATGAGGGGCACAGGTTAGGTGAATAGCAAAGGTCTTTTTCCAAGGGTAGAGGAGCCCCAGACTAGAGGGCATAGGTTTAAAGTGAGAGGGGAAAGATTTAAACGGGACCTGAGAGGCAACTTTTTCTACAGAGGGTGGTGCGTGTTGGAATTAGCAGCCAGAAGAAGTGGCAGAGGCAGGTATAGTTACAACATTTAAAAGATATTTGGACAGGTATATGGATAGGAAAGGTTTAGAGGGATACAGGTCAAAAGCAAGCAAATGGGACTAGTTCAGTGTAGAATACTTGAACAGCATGGTCGACTTGAACTGAAGGGCCTGTTTCCATGCTGTATAACTCTATGACTCTAATTATTCAATGTTGGTTTATATGCTATTACTGACACCATGCACGACGCACTACTTAAATCCATATATTCCAACAAGTTCAGGTTTAATTGAGCGTGGCTGTGGGTAGTGGGGTAGAAACAGGGGGTGATTGGAAGATTGTGGGGCAGAGGAACAGAGACAGGGAAAGACAATGGAGAAGGGAAGAGAGGGCGGGAGAGGAGAAGAGGTGAGAGGAGGAGGGAAAGGAGAGGGAGTGAGAGAGGAGAGAGAGTGGGGCAGAGGAAGAGGGCGTAGACGGGGGCGAGGAGAGATGTGATGGGGAGAGAGAGAGTGCCCTCGCTCTCCTTTCACCCCAACCCCGCCCACATCATTCTCACTCCCCCTGCTGAAGCTCATTTCAGTATTGTGGCTCTCCTCAGCAGGTGCGCAGTGTTGCCTTTGTGTATGAGTTCATCAGAAGTTTACGTGGTTACGTAGCGTGTCTGGAACTGTGCAGGGGTGCTGCTGCCTACACTTACACTTGTCACAAATATTTGCCTTTTTGATAGTGTCCAGCAACAGCCTCCAGTTTTAATGAATTGAACTGCCAGCAACAATTGTGGAGAGCAGCTTGAAATCATATCTGACTCAGGGATGACTGTGCTACCCAGTTTGTGATACTGGATTGGTCTGTCATGCAAAAGGCTTGAATTTGAATCATTCTCTCAAAAGTCACTGGAACTCAATGGATAAAGATTTCGTAATCTCACTCAGCCAGAACTTAATATGGAGCACATCTTGCCATCTTTGTTACACCTCAAAGTTAGGAGGAAGCTACCAGCCAAAATCAACCAAGATCTGATCTTAAACCATCTTATCATGCCAACTGATGAAAATCACAGAAAGTGAAAAGGAATACTCATTCTCTTACTCTCTACAAGTTTAAAATACTCAGTTGTCATATAAACATTATTGTCAACCACTTACCCTGTAATTACAGACTCACCAAGTTATTTGCATCGTAAATCACTATCTCCCCTATTGTGGCATTCCCAGGATATGCCAGGTAGGAGTTAGAATGATTGATGGAAAGTGCACAAAGTCCTGGAAAGAACAGACAAAACAAGATGTCAGAAAGCTCAGTGTGTGATTTGTACTGGTGATGTACTCAGGAGTGAACTGAGTAAAGTGTGAGTCAAGTCAGAGCACAGAAATACTCGAGACTCAGATAATATGGTACACAAATAGCTTCTGAATTGTACTAAAGGGAGAGGGTAGACAATTTAAAATGATGGTGCAACTGAAAGAATAATCAGCATCAGATGAGTCACGAATAAGGACAGCACAGTGAACAACTAAAGCAGAGCAGGGTGTGAAACAAAGTCTTAAATCTCACTCCAATCAAATGGTGGAAATAAAACAAGAATTTGCTTCAGGATAGTATGGTTTATATCCTTGGGTGGTAATCAAATTGCTTCACAGCCAATAAATTACTTCTGAAGTTTAACAAATTGTTAGCAAACAGGGTAGTCAATTCTGGGAATAGCAAGGTTCCACAAACAGAAATTTGAGAAACAGGAAGTATAGTCAGTTTGATAGTATTAATTGAGCAATAAATGCTTGACCCGAGCAACAGGAGAGATTCATTCAAAATGTTCAAATAGTGTCATGGGATTTTTCACATTCGCCCAGCCAGACAAAACGGGCCAATTTCACATCTTATCTGAAAGTGCTGATCTTAATGCTGTATTCACACAGTGAAAGATCAGTTTGGATAATGGCTGGAAGTTTCCTCAGACCCTCTCCCACTTCATTGCTGTTACCTCACTGAAAATGTGGCTGAACTTGTACTCCTGCATCATTGCTGCTAACAAAGACATTGCGTTATTGACATTTCAATTGCAGACTATGGTCATTCAAAGAACAAGGTGAGGTCTCCAGTTCATCACTGACTTTGTAGGCCACATCCTACTTCTCTCATATGTTCCCTCTTTCTTGGACAAGTGGTTACTTCTGCTTGTTGGTTTCAGTTTCTATCTCCATCTTCCCTTCTGCCTCTTTCCAAAAGATTTCTTCAAAGAGAAAATAGCTGCCAGACATATCTACGTAGAAAGGACAGATTTAGATTCTGACAAAGCAGATACAGTAGGGACATGCATCAGGTAAAACCTAGTGGGCAAGGGGAAAAAGGGTACAAATTAAAATTTTTGTAGCATCAGAAGAGCTCCATAAGAATGTGAATCACCTCTGTTACCTGGAAAACGGCCCTGTATTTGGATTAAACATTAACCAGATCAGTTGTGATTCAAAATTCTCTTTGCTGCTCACATCCATTTTTAGGCTCCACTAGTGACATATGATTTCATCCATGTTACCAAACAACAGGCCTATTATATTTGTGCATAAAGTTGTGAACTGTACTATTGCTGTGTTAAACTGAACACCACTGTGGCTGTTGGAAACTACTTTGCTTCAGACATATTTCAGCATTTTTGACTTTGTCAATATTACATCTAGGAAGTTCCAACAGGTTACTTCTTCTTTTGAGAATACAACTAAAAGTGACAGAACTTTTTAAAAGCTGCTGCCTCTCTTCAGAGGATTAAATAAATCGGGTAAAATAACTGAGACATAAATCAAATACAACCAGTCAAATTGATTGGATTAATTGCTTTTACTTTGTAAACCCATGACTGATCAGAACATTTGGAGTCCAGGGCAACAAGAGAAAACAGGTTTACCCAAAGAATGGTTAAAACAAGGAACATACCAACACATAGTTGAGATGGACAGAAAAGATCCAGTCAAGGGGAGTTTGAGATCAAAATAGAAGGAGATGCTGATGGGGTTAGATTTAAGGGGTGGGGGAGGAGGTTAAGAAGATGGCTCGAGTTGAATATAAACACCAGCAGAGATTGTTGGACTGTCTGACCTGTTCTGGGGTTGTACGTTTTGTAAAATTCTGTATACTATTCTCTCATTTTCATCCTAATATGCTACAGAAAAACTGTAGTGACTCAAAGGAACCTTCTGGAATTTTGAGTCCAGATACTTAGCGACTGATTTCAAACTGTTTAACCCACCTGTGCGATTTGGTGGTATATCCTGAATAGTTTTCAGTAATTTCAAATCCTTGATGTTATGAATATGGATGGACTCCTCCAAACAAACTACCAGCCTCTGTGGTGAGAAAGTAAACTTTATGTTAAAAGTGAGTTGAACATAAGGCTAAAAGCTGTGGGAAATCTGACTGAGGTGGACAAAATTCTGAGCGACATTGATTCAGAGGGGATTTTTGGAAAGTTGTTTTTAATTCCAGTATCTGGAACTCTCTGCCTACAAGAGTGGTAGAGGCAGGAAGCCTCAAACCATTTAAGAATGACTTAGATAAAACATAGCATACAACGCTACAGGCAAATGGGATTAGAATAGATGCATGTTTAATGACCAGTGTGGACATGATGGGCCGAAGGGCATCTTTTGATGCTGTAACGATCCGATGACTCCACAACGTCAGGGTTTAGATACTATTTGGTCTTGATTAGCAATATACCTGCAACAATTGAAGAAGTGCTTTTAAGCTTGCACATTAAAACAGAGTGGTCAACTAGCATCTCTGAAACAGCACACTGCACTCTGCTGGTATACATCTCGTTACAGCACACACCTAAGGATTAAATCTCAATCCAAGCTGCCTGTGTGAATGATAAATACCAATGCAGACTGTCTGGGCTGTTTCTCTTATGATTTGCATTTAAGCCTATTAAATTTCTGATAGAAGCAGAATTACATGAAGCATACAACAGATTGAAAAATATAGCCAGCCTTTCCTCAATTCAGAATAGTCTAGCCAACACATTTTGAATTAAAATCTCAAATTAATCCAATTACATTTAGCCAGAAAATATTATTACATTGGAAAATAACAGCTGTCATACTTGACACTAAAACTGGCCCTGGACTATCAAGTAACAAATCGAAAGCAGCATATGTACCACTAACAATGTACAACTGCACTAAAAGAAATATTTTGGTGGTTATCTAGAGTGCAGAGTCTGCTTTAAATTTACAAAATAATGAAGTGCTGTTGACAACTGGTCGTGTTGGGGGTTGGATGAGAATGAAAGAGGTAACTTGCTTTTAAATAGTACATTACATGATCTCGCGATATATTAAAGTGATTCTAAACCAACAAAATACTGAAGAAGGGTCCCGACCCGAAATGTCAACTTTCCTGCTCCTCTGATGCTCCCTGGTCTGCTGTGTTCCTCCAGCTCCACACTGTGTTATCTCTGACTCCAGCATCGGCAGTTCTTTCTATCTCTGAAATACTTTTGAAGTCTGGTTTACACACATTTTCCACAAACAGCAGAAAAATAAATGTTCGCCATGTCACAGGAATCCCCCATCCCCATCAAATACATCTTCTCATTCAGCTGAGTGGGCAGACAAGTCCAGAACCTAACGTCTCATCTAAAAGTGGGATCTCTGCAAATGCAGCACTCCTCACACTGCACTGGGGTATCAGATAGAGGAGGCAGTGGTAGAGTGGTAATGTCACTGGGCTCATAATTCTGGGGACATGAGTTTTAATCAAACCAAGGCAGATAGTGAAATTTAATTTCAATGAAACAATCAGGAATTTTTAAAAGGCTGGTCTAATGGTGATCAAGTAACCACTGTCACTTATCCTAAAAACCCATCTGGTTTACTAATGTACTTTTGGGGAGGAAATCTACAGTCCTTATCTGATCTGGCCTACATGTGACTCCAAAGCCACAGCAATGTGGTTGATCCTTAACTGCCCTCTGAAATGCCCTAGCAAGCCACTCAGTTCAGGGGAATAAGGAACAGGCCACAAATGCTGGCCCATCCACATCTGAGACCCACATCCCATGAACGAACAAAAACGAATATACTCAAGTTCTGGAGTGAAGTTGTGACAGAGGAGAACGTAATGACTGAGAAATGATAAAAGCTTTATGATGGTGACAGGCAGAAAGAGCTTTCTACTTTCAAGAAAATAGATCTCAGTAAAATACATGTCAGAATTCACTTTGATGGCCGTCTTGCATGGTATAGTTACATTGTACATAATCCTGTGCACTACTGATTTTATTCCTGAACCTATAAGCCATTTTGCTTCATCAGCAAGTACTTATTGCTTTAAAACTTGAAGTCAAGGGTGAGTCTGAGGCTGTTGGCTCGTAGGCCTTACCTCAAACTATAACCATTGATCGGAAAGAGACAGTATGGAAATGTGAATTGGATAAAAAGAACAAAATTTTGGATTGGAGGAGAGTGGATTTTAGTAAAATAAGGCAGGATACGGCCAAAGTAGACTGGGAACAGCTAATAGTGGGGAAATCTACAGAAGAGTAGTGGGTGGGGGGGGTGAGCTTTGAAAAGGAAATGGGGAGGGTACAAGCCCAATATGTACCCTCTGGGGTGACAGGAAGGAGTAAAAAGCCCAGAGAACCATGGATGACTATAAATATTCAGGATACAATGAGTAGGAAAACAGAGGCTTTAAGCAGATACAAGGGGAGCAAATTAGCGGAGGCATTAATGCAGTACAGGAAGTGCAAGTTGGAGCTTAAGAAAGCAATTAGGAAAGCAAAGAAAGGATATGAGAAAGCTGAGGCTAGTAAAAGTAGGGAAAATCACATGATATTCTGTAAGTATATCATTGGGAAGAGGATAACCAAGAAAAGAGTAAGGCCCATTAGGGGCAAAGAGAGCAATCTGTGGATGGAGCCAGAGGACATTAGTAGAGTATTGAACCAATACTTTACATCAGTTTTCACTGAAGAGAATGAAGAATGAAGGTACGGAACCCAGGGGAGAGACTGCGAGGTGCTTGCTCAAATTAACATAGGGAAGGACAATGTATTGGAGGTGTTAAAATTGAATCAGAGATAGTAGGAACTGCAGATGCTGGAGAATCCGAGACAACAAGGTGCAGAGCTGGATGAACACAGAAGGCCAAGCAGCATCATAGGAGCCGGAAGGCTGACGTTTTGGGCCTAATTCTGATTTCTGATGAAGGGTCGAGGCCCGAAACGTCAGCCTTCCTGCTCCTATGATGCTGCTTGGCCTGCTGTGTTCATCCAGCTCTGCACCTTGTTGTCTTGTATTGGAGGTGTTGGCAGGTTCATGGATGAATTGTGTCCTAGGCTGCTGGGGCAGGCAAGACAGGAGATTGCAGGGGCACGAACCCAAATTTTTAATTCCTCTCTGGCCATGGGGTATATGCCACAGTGCTGGAGAACAGCTAGTATGGTTCCAATATTTAAAAAGGGTTGTAGAGATAGATCAGAGAATTACATACCAGTGAGTCTCATGTCAGTGGTAGGAAAACTATTGGAGAAAATTCTGAAGGAGAGCATCTATCTCCACCTGGAGAGGTGAAGCTTGATCAGGGATAGTCAACATGTCTTTGTCAGATTCAGAATTTGACTGAATTTTTTGAGGAGGTGACCAAGCATGTCATAGAGTCATACAATACGTAAACAGATCCTTTGGTCCAACTCGTCCACGCAGATCAGGTTTTCCAAATTAACTACATTTGGCCCATATCCCTCTAAACCTTAGATAACAAGGTGTAGAGCTGGATGAACACAGCAGGCCAAGCAGCATCAGAGGAGCAGGAAGGCTGACGTTTCGGGCCTAGACCCTTCTTCAGAAATGACCCTTCTCCAGCATCTGCCGTTCCTACTATCTCTTTGCCTTCCTGCTCCTCTGATGTTGCTTGGCCTGCTGTGTTCATCCAGCTCTACACCTTGTTATCTCAGATTCTCTAGCATCTGCAGTTCCTAATATCTCCCTCTAAACCTTTCCTATTCATGTACCAATGAGGGTAGTGCAGTCGATGTAGTTAGTATGGATTTCAGCTAAGCCTTCGACAAGGTTTCATATAGAACACATTTCAAGAAGGCAAATGCACAAAGGATATGGGGTAATTTGATAAAGTGGACTCAAAATTGGCCCAGTTATAGAGACAAAGGGTGCTGACAGAGGCTGCTTTAGTAACTGAAAGTCAGCGTCGAGTGGCATTCCACAGAGGTCTGTGCTGGATCGCCTATTATTCGCCATTTATATAAATGACATAGATGACTGTGTGGGGAGTTGGATTAGTAAGTTTTGTGGATGATACAAAGATTGGGCGGGTAGTTAAAAGTGCGATTGAGTTTTTTGGGCTACAAGAAGATATAAATGGAATGGTCAAATGGACAGATAAGTGGCAGATGGAATTTAACCTTGAGAAGTGTGAGGTGATATACTTTGGAAGAAATAACTTGACAAGGAAGTATTCAATAAATGGCATGACACTAGGACGTTCTGTGGAACAAAAGGACCTTGGCGTGTTTGTCCATAGAACTCTGAAGGCAGAAAGACATGATAATAGGGTGGTGAAAAAGACATATGGGACATTGCCCTTTATCAATCCAGGCATTGATTACAAAAAGCAGGGAAGTTATGTTGGAGTTGCTCAGAATTTGGTGAGACCACAGCTTACAGTACAGTGTGCAGTTCTGGTCGCCACATTACAGGAAGGATGTGATGTGTAGGGGGTGCAGAGGAGATTCACCAAAGTGCTGCCTGGGATGGAAAATCTAAGTTATGAGGAAAGGTTGGGTCGGCTTGGGTTGCTTTCATTGGAGTGGAGAAAACTGAATGATGATCTGATTGACTTGAACAAGATATGGTGGCACAGTGGTTAGCACTGCTGCCTCACAGCGCCAGGGACCCGGGTTCGATTCCAGCCTTGGGCGACTGTCTGTGTGGAGTTTGCACATTCTCCCAGTGCCAGCGTGGGTTTCCTCCGGGTGCCCCGGTTTCCTCCCACAGTCCAAAGATGTGCAGGTTAGGTGGATTGGCCATGCTAAATTGCCCGTAGTGTTTCACAGAGGTGTAGATTAGGTGAGTTATAGGGGGATGGGTCTGGGTGGGATGCTCTGAGGTTTGGTGTGGACTTGTTGGGCCGAAGGGCCTGTTTCCCCACTGTAGGGATTGCATGATTCTATGAAGATTATGAGGCGCATAGACAGAGTGAATTCAGAGTAGCTGTTCCCTTAGTTGAAGGATCAGTCACAAAGGCACATGGGTTCAAGGTGAGGGGCAGGAGGTTTCGAGGGAATGTAAGGAAAACCTTTTTTACCCAGAGGGTGGCGATAGCCTGAAATATGCTGCCTCAGAGGGTGGGGTAGAGGCAAGTTGCCTCACATTGTTTAAAAAGTATGTGAATGAGTGCTTGGCACATCATAACATTCAAGGTTATGGGCCAAGTGCTGGTAAATGGGATTAGGTTGAAGGTCAAATGTTTCTCAAGTGTCGGTGCAGGCTCAATGGTCCAAAAGGCCTCTTCTACAATGTACGATTCTATGAAAGTGTTGGGAAGATCAATACTCTCTCAGAATTGGTACCAAAGTATACAAAAGCTTCACTTTACTTGCCAGCATTTTGTTTGACTACGAAATACTGTTGCATATGCAAAACAACCTTACAATTGAAAAAGGCAGCTACTTAATACCGCATGCCCTTCTAACCTGAATCTTATAAAGTATATTCTGTATATGACCGAAAGGTAACCTTTATTATCTCATTCACTGATTTTTCTGTGACAGGGTGTAGCTGACGTAGCTGAAGTTAGCAGTTTTCTGCCAATCTGTGACTACTCTTACCTGTCTGTTCAGCCTGACAGTAAGGATGGTATTTGAATAGCTGTAGTTGCAGATCTCAGTCCCTTTCTTGAAATGATAAACATTCATCCTCTGTGGTGTGGAGAGGCTGACAATGACCACCAGGCTGCTGGAAAACAGCCGTTCCACAATATACACATCGGGCGTGTCTGCTGTATGAGGAGAAATACAAACAGAGAAAGAGGAATAAAACTAGTGTTCATACACATGGGCAACAAGTCTGATACTGAGCAGCTGATAAGTTGGGCAGAGCAATAGCAGATGGAATTTAATCCTGATAAGTGCAAGATGATGCACTTTGGGAGGTCTAATAAGGGAAGGAAATACATAATGAATAAACAAGGTCTCCAGGGAGCACTGAGGAACAAAGGGACCTTGGTGTACAAGTCCATAGATTCCTGAAGCTGTCAGCACAGGTGGACAGGGTGGTGAAGAAGACATACTGGATGCTTATATATGTATGCTGAAGACAGGGGGTTCCAGAGGGAATGGCTCCTGCAAACTACAGGTAAAAACAGGTAATGTGTTTTGGTGAATTTGGTCAATAGATAAACAGTGGTTATGACACCAGCTGATTCTCCCCTCTGTTTCTAATTGTGTCAAGATGTTAAATACGTCTAACTGAGTCAGCAGAATCATTATTTAATATATCATTGGAAAGACAACAGATTGCACCTCTAACAATTCAGGGCACTGAGGGAGTAATCCTGAATCTAAAATCTTCAGTGTCAGGGACAAGGTTTCCATCTCTATGCAGTCTGCAACTCTACTGCATTCATTACTCACAATGTGATCTCCTCTGCACTGGGGAAACAAAGCATAGACCATTCCGCCCACAAAAAAGACCCTGAGCTACCTGTTGCTTGTCACTTTAACACACCACCCTGTTCCCTGGCCAACATCTCTGTCTCAGACTTGCTTCAGTGTTCAAGCTGGAAGAACAACACCTCATTTTCCACCTGGGGACCCTGCAGTCTTCAGGACTCAACACTGAGTTCAATAATTTCATGGCCTGAACTCTCCCACGTCCCAGTCCCCAACACCAGACACCGGGCATTGTTATCACACAGTCTGCTATTATACACCACCTATTGTTAGCCACTAACAGTCTCCACTAACAGCTATTCAGTGTCCTAGCCAGATCGTTATCCACTCCTTTCTCTGTCCAACTGTTTTTCTCTCTTTTGGCTCTATCCCCACTTACTGTTTACACCTTTCGCCCCTCCCCCCCACCCTATCTTCTGCATTTGAATGAACATTTTCCTAGCTACCATCAGTTCTATAGAAGGGTCATTGGACCCGAAATGTCAACTCTGATTTCTCTTCACAGATGCTGTCAGACCTGCTGAGCTTTCCCAGCAACTTCTGTTTTTGTTTCGGATTTACAGTTCTTTTGGTTTTTATTTAGTGTAATAACTCTCCAGCTGGTTATAGAAACTCCCTGCCAGTGATTTTAAAATGGTTCTGCTCTCTCTCCTCCTTACAATTAATAATGTCTTATGCAATTCAAACCCCAACAGCATAATTCTTGAAAGAAAATTATGATTTGCAATTTCCTGACCAATTTCTTTCAATACTTTTGCATAGAAAACATTGTGTTCAGGAGATTTGACACAGCTTAAGACTGTCTCCTGGACACAGTCACTTTTAGTCGCTGTTACTCTTGAAACTTATTCATAAACAGTGTCCAGTGCTGTACTAAGCCCCAGGCTGCATTTGAATTCTGGATGCTAGTTTGAGTCCCTGACTGATTAGCAGCCAGGGTCTGAATTCAGCAGCCTACGATCAGGGATTGAGTGTTGGGTAACAACATTAATATGACGGACTGTAAATGTGGCAGGAAGCTGCTGCGCTCTGTCTCAAGTTTCAGTTGTCACAGATATTTTTACATCCCACCACATTTTAAACACACTGTAATCTGGGCAGTAAAAACGAATATTTTTGGGATGTAGCTGGGTGTGGTGCCCTCCTCTGAACATATTCTGCACTCTTAAACTCATAAGGTTTTGTAGTTGGTCCATTCAAGGTTTTAAAAACACATTGTTGGATTGTTCTCACTTCTGCATTATAAAGGAGTTGGCGATACCTTTTAAAAATTAATATTTAAAATAAGATGAAGAAAACAAGGGAATTATGCATTGAATATAATGCAGCTTCCATGGTATTTTGTTACTGCTATTGTAATGCTAACTTAGTTTTCTGCAAGCTGAGCTTGTCTTACCAATGTTTGAAATCTTTTAATTCCTTGTGACTTGCACACAGCCATCAAGACCAAGTGTAGTTTCTCGTTCAAGACAGGTGGATTTCAGTCCCCATTATGAGGTAGTATATTCTACTTCTTTGTTTTTATATTTTAAATAATAAACTCGCACCATTCAGTGGCAGGAGCGTGCAATTGGAGTCAGATAGGTTTACATAACAGTTCCCCTTTTCTACTGCCATGCACGCTCCCAAGCACCCCATGTGCATCAGGCTCCACCCACCAAATCAACCCATTGAACAAATCAGAAAAATGCAGGCAAACAAAAGTTGTGTATCATTATAGATTACTATCACCCAGTCGTGGCTTTACATACAACATCTGTCAGTTTCCAGTAAAGTGAGGGCTGGAGAATAAAATTTTGATTTGATTTATTATTGTCACAAGTACCTAACTACAGTGAAAAGTTTTGTTTTGTGTGCAGTACAAAGATCATAGGGTGATTGAATAGAATGAGGAAAACAAGTTATGGCTGCAAAAAAGGGTGCACAAAAAGCAAGATCAACATTAGACTTGAAATTTGAGGGGCCCATTCAGAAGTCTAATAACAGCGGGGAAGAAGCTGCTCTCGAATCTTTGCATACATGTTTTTAAGCTTTTGTATCTTCTGCCTGATGGAAGGGTTGGAAGAGATTATGACTGGGGTGGGAGGGGTCTTTGATGATGTTGACAGCCTTTCTGCAGCAATGAGAAGTGTAGATGGCTTCTGTGGTTGGAAGGTTGGCTTGCATGATGGTCTGGGCTGTGTTCACAACTTTGTGTAGTCTCTTACAGTCCTGGGGAGAGCAGTTGCCGTACTAAGCCGTGATGCATCCAGACAGTATGCTTTCTGTGCTGCACCTATAAACTTTATCGAGGGTCCTTATGGACATGCCAAATTTCCTTAGCCTCCTGAGGGAGTAGAGGCACTGTTATGCTTTCTTGACCATCACATCTATGTGGGTGGTCCAGGACAGATTGTTGGTGATCATAATTCCAATAAGTTCTGCTCATCTTCCCTATTATCAAAATTTGAAGCCAGAGAACCAAATATTGCTGGTCAACAACATGCTCACTGACTGGGACAACAAGGTGCAGGGCTGGATGAACACAGCAGGCCAAGCAGCATC